TAACGGGAGGAAGCTTATTCTCTCCAACCACTGTATGTAAATACACCTGAGTCTCACTTTAAGTCCTCACCAGCCCTAATCCAAGTGAAAGTGTAAAAAAAAAAAACATTTAAGTCTTAAAAGATTAAGTAATGCTACTTTTCAAAACATTTCTGAAAAATAAGGTGCAAAAATCTATTCAAATAGTTGTAAATAAGAATCTCAATTATGAGTCTAAAATTAAATACCTCGTCCGTGAGTCTTGAACTTGCAAGTGTTTAATCAATATTCACAATGCATTTTAAAAAATCTCAACCCACCCTGGACGGTGTGGATCGTTGGGTTAAATAACATAATCCCTTTCTTTCTTTTTATCCTGCGTAACTTGCAAAAATTCTTCCACCTAAATCATTACAGAAACACGCATAGTCATCCAAATGTCAATTAAATAGTTAGTTAATGTTTTTTAAGTTTTAATTCCTCTCAATTAATGGAGTAGATTATAATAGCTAGTAATTTGTTTGGGTACTCGGGTCGGGGCACATTAAAAAAGGATATTTAAAAAATACTAGTGTGTTAGGATTTTACAACAACAAAACCTTATTAATTAACCATGAAAACTCCGTTGCTAATCAATTAGTGTTTGTTTTTTTTTTAGTTAAAAAAGAGCATATAGTAATTTTTTTTAGTAGTTTATTTACAGTTTGTTGTGTGAGGAAAGGCAGAAGTAACATTCATTGCATGGGGTGATCAGCTTACACATTGCTCTCAGCCAAAGGTTCAGTGAAATAATGCAAAACAAAAAAGGTGATGGATTTAATTAGTACTCTTTTTTAATCTTTAAGACCCTCTCTAGCTACCCTGCACATAGATCAATCAGTGAATAAAACACTTATTAGACACACAGATTTCCTCAGATTCAAGAGTTTCTCTCTAACCATCTCCAGACAGAATCGCAGAAAAGGTAAAGTTAAGAATCCCCACAGGTAATTGAAACATCAGTTTTATTTTGTTCCTCCTTTAATCTTCCTTCCATTCGTTGTTTGGTGACTGAATTTGACTTAATTGCCAGTTTGTTTAATCAGGGAAATTCCAGATCATCGATTCTGGGTTTCAAATTAACATCGATCCACTGATCTTGCCTTGATCTGTGCCCCCAAATTAAACAAATCTTAGGTAAACCGAAGGATCCATTTTAACTTTTTTTCCAACTGGCTGATAAAATGAATTCTTCTTTTTCCTTCAAGATCTCTCCCTATGTCTCAGTACAAATAATTAGCCAGTTCCACGCATGAGGGAGTGAAAGATCTACTCACAGCAGAAGATCAACCTTGATGAGGCCGAGCGGTGGATAAATTAATTGGACTCCGCCTCATTTGACTAGTTATGGGGGCCGGGGAAGGTCCAATTAATTCATCAGTCTAAACTAAATTCTGATGATTAACATGATATTTATAATTAAGTTTCTCGCACAAATTGATCAAAATCAAAATTTTAAATTAATAAGCGTGGATATTTTATACGTGCTAGCATCAAAATATATACACACATTTTTTTTTATTATAAGAAGTAACATGTGGGACTAAACCCGAACATAGTAAAATGCGACTAGATTATAAAGTTATTGTCATAAATATAATTTTTAAAATAATACATGAATAATAGTAATACACTATTAATGACACCGGGATGTTTTGAATAATTTTTTTTAGGGTTCATACAAATTTTGATCTTTTAAGTTTTAAATCATAGATTTTGGTCCTCAAGTTTTTTATTTATTTATAACATTAATTCTATAATTTAACAAAAACTTGAACCATTTTGCTCTTTGAAAGACTAAAACCTATGGTTTGAAACTTGATGGACTAAACTAAAATGAGGGCAAACTTCACGGACCAAAGATTATATTAGCCTCTTTTTTAACATGTAATTAAGTAGTGACTGATAGGGCAATATATAAATTGAAATGTGAGGAAGATTTTAAATTTCAAGGCTTCTCCATATACACATTTGAAATGGGAAAATAATAATTAACATCCAGTAATCTCATCAATAAAGCATTGATGTTGTCATGATTACAGGAAAAATTTAAATGAAACAAGTGCATATATATATATATGTATGTATATAGTAAACAAAATTACATTGAACAAGTTCTAGCCTTGTAATCCGTCTGTTAAATCCTGGACAAATTTGGATCATATATCCTGATGATTCAATATTTGATGAGCAGATATATATACATGGAATCAAATAATCCATTCGCCACAGGTTTCTCGTTCTACACTGCGACAGCTTCCTCTTCTGAGGGCTGCTTCAGCCACAGTAACTTCACCAGCCAGCCAATGTTTTCTGATCAGCCCCCTCCAAATCAAAGGAATGACGACAAAAGAAAACAAACTCGCAGGTTATTATATCTTACAGCTTATGAACTACTGAACTGTTGTATGTATTTAATTTATGTCTTGTTTATTCTGTTACTTGTTAGTTATATATTAATATTCTAGTTTTTCCTATTATTACAGCAACGGGAGCGAAGAAAATAATAATAACAATAGGAATGAAAAGCGTGGTCGAAGTAATAATCAACGTAAAACTTCTGAGTACCTGGGAGTTAGCAGGTCCGATATAACTTATTCTCTTGATTCATGTTCATGCACGTTCCAAATTTTGTCCAGTTTACAGCATAACTGAAAGGTATAAAACCATATTCTGGACACGCACATATAGGCAAGCAGGTCGTTATGAAGCATTTATATGGGACAGCAGCGTTCTTAAACCAGGAGACAAAAGGAAATCTGCAGGTACGAATGAACTATTATTACTGCACCTAAATATTACAATTAGCTAGGCTCTTCATATGTAAAATACAGCTATTAGGCTCTTCACGTATTCTTCAATATAATTATTTTCTCTTGAATGAACTTGCTAACGTAACCCTTCCATGTATGTTTGCTTGCCTTTCGAGTATCTGATATCAAGCAGCTACAGTGTATCTGGGTACGTAATTTCTTCTTCAGTATATATAACATCCAGCTTAGTGAAATAACGAGGATACGAAACCAATTAGTCAAGTTTCTATATACTACCTCCGGTCCTATTTATAAGACCTCTTTTGTATATTACAAACGAGATCTTATAATTAGGACCGGAGATAATATATTGTTTTAACACAGCGTGGGACACTTTGAGATAAGAAAACCTTCACGTTTTTGTTTTTATTGGGGCAGGTGGGTTCGAGAATGAAATAGACGCAGCAAAAGCGCGCGACTTGTTTGCCATCAAAATCTGGGGCAATTCCGCTCGTACAAATTTTCCTGTATGTGATTGACAAATCTTCGTGATCGAATATCAATTGAAATTAGCTAGCTTCCATATGTTTCATGACGACTAACACACACACGCTGTTGCAGCCTAGTACGTACGGGAAAGAGCTCCTAGAAATGAAGGATATGAGCAGAGAGGAGTGCATTGCTGCTATTAGAAAGTAAGTTTTCGGTCAATCATCAAAGAAAGACAACATATGTATTAGTTTGAAATCCATCAATTGTCTGGAGATTGAAGCTAGCTTGAGCCTTTTGATAATAATATTGTATTAATTAAATCCCAAACTTGACGCCGTCCTACTCAGGATGAGTAATGATGATAGGATGAAGAGGATGGCTAGTAAGGGCCTCTCAGTTTATCGTGGAGTCTACAGGTTTGCATTTCAAAACTCTCAAGTCTCCCATATTCGCCTTCTCTTTAATTCTCTCCAATATATATACATATATATATTTATCATAGGACACACACACACATATTCCTGAAATAGGATCCCAGAGCAGAATCGATGGCAAGCCAGGGTAGGTAAAGGCAAAAACCTACGAGGCCTTTACGTGGGCACATTTGGTGAGTTCATAAATGGATTCAAGTTCTGTAACCTACATGTGAATTCCTTTATACATGTGTGTATGATTTAAGTGTTGGCATTTTCTGGGTCTACGTAACCAGATTCGGAGGAGGAGGCGGCCAGAGCATTTGATATAGCGACAATAAGACTGAAGGGCCCGACCGCCGCCACAAACTTAAATTTCGACCGGCAATCTTATGATATCGAAAGCATTCTTAAAAGTACTAAGATTCCAATCGGAAAGGGTGCTTCCAAGTTGATCAAGAAATGCACAGCGGATGAGATTCTTTCGCGCATCACTGACAACAATCCAGACCCACCTTCGACCAACTTCTTAGAACAGTATCATCTGATGAACCCTCACCTCGTGAACACTGACCCTGTTGTCTCTTGGGAAGTTGCTGATTCAGTGAATGAGTTTGGAGTTCCGATTGGCGATCCATTCGGAGAACAAAACCAGACGGTGGCGAATAGCGAAACGTTTGTGTATGGGGATAGTAATGACCCGATGAGATTCCGACCAGATGGGTTTTCGGAGTTTCCTATAGAGGTGGAAGACAATACAGAATCTCTATGGAATGAAGTGTATGGTGAATCTCTAATGGACCATTTGCTGAGCGCAAGTGATTCATTGAATGAGTTTGAGAAAGGTCTTGATTCTATGGCGGATATCGACTGGATTTTCGCTGAGGAGGAGCCTCAAGAACCTGCTGGTGGGATCAACCAGACCACTAAATGAATGAGCTTCATAATAAGTCACCCTAATATTATGTTTTTCTTTTTTGTAAATACTGATGCCTTGGAAACTTGAAATACTACCTCCAGTTCTTAATATAAAATCTTGTTTGATTTTTATTTTGGTTCTAAATATAAAATCTTAGTTTATTTTGTCTCTCATATTTATACTTTTTTTTCTCAAGATAATCCTCCTAATAATAGTAATTCTAGCCAATACACTTAATTAGTAAGGATATTTTAGAAAAGATAACACATATTTATTATAAATAGCTAACTTATAACTTATTTTATTAATTTTTTCAAATTAATCAACTAACTCTTATAATTAAAACGAGAAATAGTATAATGTAGGGTGGTTAAAATAAACAGAAGTATCCCTCTGTGTATGTCTAGTAAGAGTGCTTTAATTTCTTCTGGTTTAAAAAATTGGCTAATAAAGAATGCAATTTTAGTCATCTAATTTAATACTACTATAAGACTTTCAGATTGAAATATTAGGTAAGGTTTTTTTTTTTTGTCAAAGAAATATTAGGTAAAGTTAAATAAACTAGAGTATATTTCTATGATATCTTATTTATTTGGATTAGATGATTCTCAAAATTTATGACTTTTAATTAGAAATAAGTAATTATCAACCTCAGTTAATATCTCTATACCATTCGTTGGCAAAATTAATTGCCATGCTATATTAAAAAAAAAAAATTGCTATCACTGGTCTGCTATTTAAAAAACTATCTGGTTGAGATACAATTCTTTCTTTCTTTTTTTGACCTTGGGTGAGATACAATTCGAAGTTATAAGATGGTAGGTAATTAAACTAGCTAGCTCGCCGACTTCAGTTTAAATATAATATAGTGCTGTAAATCAACAGATCCATCTTGAGCGTAACACTGTTTTGAATGTAATGCTAAATTTAAACGTACGTTTTGCCATTATACTCTGCATACATATAATTTTTCAGTATATATAGTTGAGGGGGGGGGGTTTAACTATATCTAAAACTAAACCTAAAAATATATGACCTTGATCACATCAACCGTAATGGACTACTGTGAGACGAATTAAACCACGGAGGGTAAAAATAACCAACTTTTAATCTCTGCAGTGGGTATTTATGGCAACAGAAACGTAAGGCTAAACAGAATATTAATTTCAGTCCTAATTATAATTAGGACCGGAGGTGATATAAACGAGCAACATTATTGGATCCAGGTACCAGGCTCTGCTGGACGTAGGATCAGATCTACTGGTACAATTTCTGCAGAACTGATGATTAAATTGGTATTGTTCTTCTCTTTCGAAGAGAGAGATTAAATATTGATATTTGCAACCTTTTTTCATTTAAGGTACGTAATAATAACCCTTCATTCAAAGATGACTTTAGTTTGACGAGACAATAAAATTCCTCATAGATATTTCTTGGCACAAAAATTTGCTGAATATAACCAAATATTCATCCACCTAACTAATTAAGTTGAAATGGCTGAAGTAATGCTCAAAATATATTGCTAATTCACTTCACGTAACTTTGGTTTGAGACGTCCTTCAATTCTTCAAATAGCCAAACAATATGCTTGGTCATCAACCATGTCCGCTCATTTTCTTTATTTCTCCTCAACAGTTGATTTCATGATTCATTCTTCTTTTGATTTGACTATAAAATATATATATATATATATATATATATATATTGAAACAGATTTGTAACCATCGCTGGCAAATAGATAATTAATTCTCATGCAATGCAGGATTCGTCACCTCCTTATCAGTCACTTCCCAATTATGACAGTGTTCCAGTTTCTGATTTCGCCGCGTACTCGGACTTCACCAAGTAACTACACTTGACATGGCATATTGCTTTGTATTTGTGCTTGTAATTACGGGGATCCTTATTACAACCAACGAAACGCAGTCCTCCAAAGAAAATTAACTAGGTCACGATCCAATGACAGAGAGAGCGTATGCACATCGTAAAGGAAACAGGAAAGGCTAAAAATTAGAATAGGTTGTTCGGGCAACCTTTCGAATAAGTAGTCATCAAAGTTCACGTTGCAACAAACTCCCTTGATAATTAAGTGACATTTTACAACCTGAATCAATCATCCGCTCATAAATGAAAACTATTTGACTGAATGAAACCCACCCCCCACCCCCCAAACCAAAAAAAAAAACGCAAACTGTAGTTAGGTATACATAGGAATACTATATCTTTTAACATAAGAATAAGAATAGATCACCAACTCTTGCTCCTCTGTCGTCGAGGAAAATCCAGGTTGCCACCTGACTGGCAAATAGAAGACAGGGAAACCCAGCTCAATGTTGAGGCTGCTAAATTCTCTACTTAATTGCTGCTAATACTATTCTTCATATATACACTACTACTGCAACTGCCAGCTGCTTGCTTCACAGCTCCATCTTCAAATGATTTGAGTGCAGAGGTGCTGCATCGCAATTTAATCAAACTTGATTTTAGTTTCATATCTACCTTCTCCAGCCTATTCTTACATGCTTCGTTAAAATGAATACCTCTGTAAGTTAATATTTGGCGTTTGCAGATTTATTTCAGTCCAGCATTATACCATTCAGATTATTAATTAAAAAGGTTATCCACAGCGCATTTCTAAGGATCCTCTTTGATTTCAGTAAAGACAATTTCAACCCCAACTAGAGAGAGCTCTGTATATTTGCAAAGAATATAAAATGAGACACATTATTCACAACTTGTGAATAACTACATCTCCTCTTGTTTTTAATGCTTTATATGATTATCTACTGAATCCCAGGCCAATGAGACCAAGAACCATGGCAGACTGCAGTTCAAAAAAGTAGCGCAGAACTTGTCTTCCGGCAGGAGGCATATGCAGTAGTAGTTTAACTCTTGACATACCTGAATTTGCCAACGAGTCATAACTCAAAAGAGAGCTTTCTGGGGTCATGAAATTACGGTTCTCTTCCTCCCTCCCCCCAAATTGGTTGGTTAAATGCATCGAATTGCCACTGATGTTGATATTGCTGTCTGTTTCCATTGACTAGAACTTCCTGCCACACTGGAGGTGTAACCATGTCGGGAAAGTTGCAGTCTGCTCGAGATGCACCCTACAAGTAGCAAGGGAGGATATCAAACACTTACTCTCAACTCCACGTACAAATCCCTTCGCTAATTCAAGATCGAGGAGCAGGGACTTCAATTTAACAAAAAATTTGCCAATGCATTTGAAATCAGGACAGATTTAGGCAATCAATAGCATTGTGTTTATCGATCTGCCCTGCTTATTTCTACTATTTTTTAACTGGTATGTCTGACAGAATGTCATGACTGACTAGAAATCACGCCTTCCACAGTCCTCATGTTCAAGTTCACTAAGTATTTGGGCAAGGATATATAAAATAGATAGATAGATGCATTCAAAGAGGGGCATAGTAACACTTTTACTGATCACTGACTAGTGAATGCATAAAGTTGAGCACTTGAAAAAGGAACATCTCAGAAAGAAATCTAGTCCACTCATATCAGGATCACATGATTCTGTTTCCCAATCTGTCAATTTTAAACTTCGAAAGTTTATTTGTGGATGGCACCAATACCAGCAGGCCTGAGTGATGAGAAAGAGATGTTATCTAGCATCCCTCAAATATGCATTCAAAACCAAAGAGTTCAGCGTGCTCCAAAGCCACAAACGGATACATAGCTTACACATAGCTGTGAATTCATGAAAGAAAACGGAAATTCAGATATGGGATCAATTTCAAATTACTTACTTCCGTAGCCAATATGCTGTCAAGATCAAGATCGATTCTTGGGTTAACTGCTGCCAGTTTCATTGACAAGAACTGAAGCCAGAGCTCAATTCAATCAGAAAAAGTACGAGTTGGTGAAAGATAACTGAAATATAACTGTATTGTGTTTCAATTTAATTTGCAATTGATATGCTAAGGAAAACGAATTTAACAAGATATTATTTGTGGATGGCACCAATACCAGCAGGCCTGAGTGATGAGAAAGAGATGTTATCTAGCATCTCTCAAATATGCATTCAAAACCAAAGAGTTCAGCGTGCTCCAAAGCCACAAACGGATACATAGCTTACACATAGCTGTGAATTCATGAAAGAAAATGGAAATTCAGATATGGGATCAATTTCAAATTACTTACTTCCGTAGCCAATATGCTGTCAAGATCAAGATCGATTCTTGGGTTAACTGCTGCCAGTTTCATTGACAAGAACTGAAGCCAGAGCTCAATTCAATCAGAAAAAGTACGAGTTGGTGAAAGATAACTGAAATATAACTGTATTGTGTTTCAATTTAATTTGCAATTGATATGCTAAGGAAAACGAATTTAACAAGATATTATTACCATAAAACATGACAAATGAACAGGGCCTCTTTTACAAATTAGTAAGCCACATCATATTTATATCGAGAACCGCACTAGCAACTGTGGCCTTTTGATGAATTTAAACCAATCATTAAATGTCTGGGATGTGAAAGTCTAACCTCCACTTGGCGTTGAAGAGATTGAACATGGTTGATGATTTCATCCAGAACCAATGCTGTTCCTGAAATCTGTGGAGACTGTCGTGTCAGATAACGCGTGGCCTTAGAGAGCAGCTATATGGAGAAAATCTTAAACAATTATCTGCTAGCTCAGAGTGTCCAACAAATTTAGGTTACTCAACTCAACATAAGAAAATTCCAGTTTATTTATGTAACTGGCCAATTTATGCAAGAGTAATGGAAAATTGTTCTAAGGAAAACGGTTTTCAAGCAGATAACAGTTTAGAGCAGATTTTTTCCCTTGATCGAGAAAGATCCGCAAACGAGAATAATTAAAACAGCAGCACCATCAGAACAGGTACGTGGGAAATTTTCTTGCATCGCTGTCAAGCGCACCCATCCCCACAAATGCATTTATTTATCGACCTATTTAGTCATCCTGTTTAATATGCCTACCAACTCGAAAGGATGGTGATACCATCACCGTCACAGCATAGATTAAAA